GGACCTTATATTTATTTTAGTGGACTTGTATTGTATTTTTATCGTAAAGTATTATCCTAAAATGTCAAAATGGCGAATAAAAAACTATGTTTTAGTTTATTGTGATTTTATTTTTATTTCGTTGGTATTTAAATTTATAGTAGATATATTTAGTTTGTTTTAGATTTATTGCTAGTAAGATATAAATATATATTGAATTAATGGCATAAAAGTAGACACTAGACAAGCAAAAAAATATACGCGAAACCGGCGGTTTAAAATCAAACCAAACCGTTAGGTTTAGGTTTGAGTTTTTTTCAAACCGGTCAAAACGGTTTGGTTTATGTTTGAATTTTTCTCAAACCGATTGAAACGATTTGGTTTGAAAATTTATCAAAAATCGGTAAAATCGAACAGCTTACACCCCTACTTTCTTGAGGGGAAAAAAGTCCCAAAAATGATTTACGCCATCACCCCTTCCAACCAGTTCTGCCACCCACGAACCACTCTAATTACACCCCCATATCCCCGTACCATCTTGTCTCTAGTAAGAAAATAAAATAATTATATATGCTTGTTTGACTTCAAAGATATATTTTTGAGGAATCTAAATATTCAAGATAAACAATAATATTAAGTTTCAATTTTCGTTCTTGTCTACAATATATATACCGCAATCAATTCTAAACTATGGATCATTATCAACTCCTTATCATCCAATTCTATTTAATAGATAGAATAAAATCACTACTCACAAATCACACTACAATGTTTGACTAATTTCAAAATATACAAATACAATTTAAAATAAATTCAATTACAAATCTTTCCCCTTGTTTTCAAGGGCAGAGTTATCGGACCCAAACCGATTATTGACTCGGACAAATCATCGGGTCAATGGTTCAATCGGTTGACTACTGGTTCAACCGCTATATCATTGCAAAGTGGCCAAGTTTCCATTATTCACAAAGTGATTGTAGGTTGAAATCTTGCCATTGCAAATGTGAACCGCTATATATATATATATTTGTGCCGCAATAAAGGTTAGTAGCTTTTGGTTGTCAATGTGGCCAAGCCTCTTGGGCACGGGTTCAAATCTTGCTATCACATGTGTTATAAATATTTTGCTTTGAATTGAATCGGTCTGATTTTCTACGAACTCATCCAGTTCTGATGATTATAAGGCGATTCAGCCAGTTCTTGATTGATTCAATTGAATATGAACCAATCAATACAAATCAGATCGGACCACCGTTCGGATCATCAGTTCATGGGCTAGACCGATCGGTCCGGCCGATTTTAACAACTATGCTCAATGGTGAATTTTGATACTATTCATCCTCTTCTCTTCCAATTTACAAGTAGAGATTCCTTGAACTTATCTTGAATATTTTCCTTCATTTAATCATATATTTTATCTTCTAATCATATATTTTATCTTCAATTTTAGTGTTTGACACAACCCTTTCCATCTTTTGCATCACAATTAGTTCCACACTTTTCAGTAATCTTATATATTATCTGCACATTTCAGTAATCTGTATATTGTTCCTTGCGAAGAATTTCAATGTTGAATGACTACTCAAGCCATACTTCTCTGCACATTCTTTCGCTTTTCAGCATCAACATTAGAAATGAAGTCACCATCTTCCAACTTGAATACATTTTGTTGATACACTAAAAGTGCAGCCCAAATTAAATAGCCCAAAGAGTGAGACCCAATTGGAGAGTCTAGAATAAAGGCCAAATAAGATTATTGGTGAATACGGAGGAAGCCTACGAACACAGTAACATTATCGCCCAAACCAACAAGACGTCCAGAATCTAAGCGAATGGAGTGCCTTTCGGTCTCCCAGAGCGATGACATCGTTCTCGCTAAAACCTTCGAGTCGCCTAGAATCTTAACGCATGAGATAATATGGTTATCCAGAATAGTAGTTATTGAAGTAATTATCGAGCAGATTATCACATTCCATGATAAGGAGCCCATTTGAAAGGGGTTGAACGACAAAGAGTAATGACAGCAGTTAGAGATGGAAGTTCCAGAATAAGTTAGCCACCATGAAGAAATTGTGTAGTTATAAAGAAATCAAATAGTTTCCAAGCGGTTGTCACGAAGAAATCGTCATAGGAATATAAAAAGGAAGAAAAGACAGAGAAAATGACCCCGAATCAAACACTCTCAAATGGAGAATATATAATTTCAATTTCATAGATTAACTTTAATATTCATTTTTCAGTACTCATATGCTTGCGCTCCTTGGAGGCATTCTGTTTATTCAATTGTAACTCTCATCAATAAAGCACCCCTTTTAATTATTAGCGACTACCCGCGCGAAACACATTTTTACAAGTAAGAACAAGATTTTGCAATGACCACACAAGGGTGTATACAAATTAGATGAACCAGTCCAAGAGATTCTCCACCACCGTTACCTTAATGTCTAACAGTAGCCCAAGGTTCAAAATTCAAAAACTCATTTTTCTTCAACTCATGCTATCTGTCCTATCTTGGTATTCAATTTTTCTTAACGTGCTCATTGTGCTCATCATGAATTATTCATGTTGTATCTTAGCACCTGTTTGAGCCCCATTTTTAAAGAAAAATATTGTAATGGTGATTTTTGGAAGAACGTGTGGTTAAAAAATTTGAATTTAATAGTAAATTATTTTATTATGAGAATATGTGATTGAAAATGAGTTTGCAAAAAATGAGTTTTATTTATAATGGAGTTCGGACAGGCGCTTAATTTCATCTTGACCATCAAAAGTGTTAAAATAGTCTTCTCAAATTCGTACATCCAATTATCCATTCTGAGCTTTGATATCACCGTGTTTTTATTTAAAAAATAGATGGACAGAGTAGGCTCCTTCGAGGAAGCCATACCTCCACAAATAGCTTTGTGAAAATCTCCAAGACATATAATATTGTTTGTAACAAAATATTCAGTCCTCATTTTGCATTCATGTTTATATAAATAAATAAAAAGTAGAAAAAACTACAAATTCTAAAACTATAGAGCGTTATTAACTGCTGTATATTTGTTTAAGAGTTATTATGAAAAGGAGAAATGAACATATATTGTACATTGAAAAAGAAAAAATCAATATGAAATTAAAATGAAAATAAATGACGGGATGGGCATGATTAAGCCCATGTGTATGCATCCACATGCTTGAGCAGAAGCTAACATCCAAATGAAGAACGAAACAACCTTGGCAACTATCGAAATCATGAATCAAGACCTTGTAAGATTATATCGATTTGATGTAACAAACTTACTCGATAACAAGACAAGTTAAAGTTACTACTGATGACATTGAAGATCTCTTAGGGTCCGTTTGATATCTATAATTTTCCATGGCCATTTTCCATCTTTTGCCTTATTTGATAGGTAAATTTTTCTTGGAAATTGTTTTCCCCCCAACCCCCCTTCCACCTTTTTTTTTTTAGCAATTGGAATAATTTCTATCAACAATGGTAAACTTTTTTTTTNATCAACAATGGTAAAAAAAAAAAAAATTCTTTAATGGACAATTTTCATACAAAACAAAGCCAAACGAATGGTATTAGGTATGATAATTATTATTTTTTTTTTTTGGAATTGGAACAAATTCTAGACCCAATGGTAGAAAAAATTATCACTTTAATGGAACATTTTCATAAAAAACGAAGTCAAACGGACATCAAACTTTCAACATTTTCCATGAAAAATTATACAAATCAAACACAATTAATAACACCTCCCAATAAAACAATTTCTAGGAAAAAATTTTTCCTGTAAAATGTTTTCTTTCCACCCATTTTCCACCCTTGCAATCAAACGGGCTCTTAGATTTTTAATTCAGACTTGGCACTACTACCTAGAACCAAGAAATGAAGACTTAGATGCTATAAGAGCTGAAAGATAAAAATGCCAAGAAAATGAATTAATTTATCGCAGCCATATTCTAAATGCATTAATCGACTGGTTATACGATCTTTACACTAATGCTACTTCGGCTAAAGAGATTTCAGATGCATTAAAATATAAATACAAAACCAAGGAGAAAGGCACAAAGAAATTCCTAGTTTTAAGGTATTTCGATTTCAAATTTCTTGAGGATATTCCCCTATTTTTCCAAGTGCATGAATTGCAAGTCTTTGTCAACAAATTGAAGACGGTCAAAATAGAACTTTTGGAATCCTTCCAAGTTGTGAGCAATCAGTGCAAAATGCCTGGGGACTTGAAAAGGATATCAAAAAAAAGATTTTTCGTAGTTTCGAAGATCATTCTTCGGAA